AGAGAGAGAGACAGAGACAGAGAGATGGAGAGAGCTTTGGAGCCTCGACAGTGCTCAGGAGCTGCCGATCGAACTCCTGAGGTCCCGGAGTCCCAACAGGCAACTCCCACTCAGGGCCGCCCCAAACGCGCCACCTTTGGACACAGCGAGGTGTCCGGAGCCAGGGCTAAGTCCTGACTCTTTGGGGAACCACGCGCCACCCAGACTCACCGCCCGGCCCAAAGAGAGAAAGAGAGAAACTTTGGGCACTAATATCTCCTCTTGGGGCATCGGCCGCCTCAGGGCTCCAAGGACTGCACACATCTCATGGCTCGAATCGATCGAAGCGCGCGCAGAGGCTCGGTGGGTCCCCGGCGGCGCTGTCGGCGGGGCGCCTGCCGTCTGGCACTTAAAAACCCGCAAAGCAGCGCGTCACATGGCCGTCGCGGGCCTCGACTTCCTCCCTGACCTGGTATCCAATGCAACCTGCGGGCCGCCGGGAAATCTCCACGTCTCAGCTCTGAGTCTCACTCCGAGGCCAAGGGGCAAGATGCAGGAGACATCGTCGGAGCAGTCTTCGGCGGTCTCAAGCAAGCGTAGAGCTGGTGATACTGAAGAAAGGCTGAGCTTGCCACTGGCAGCCGCGCCTGCTGCCACCGAGAACGTGCTTCTGCCGCCAACTTCCCGGCCGCGAAACTCGGACCTTCCGAGTAAAAAAAATTGGGTGTGGATCTCTGTTTTCTGGAGGACTTTTCTGCGAGGCTCCCGCCGCACTCTCTCAAGCGGCAAGCTGTCAGGAGCTGCAGGGCCTCCTCGCCCGGCCTGGCGAAGAAAAGCCCCGGGGGACAACTGTATAGTACTGTTGTAGTACTGTAGTTCTACAGTTCCAAATCCCGGTGGTGCTTTGCAATCCGCACGGCGCCTTGCATCGTCCAACATTTCCCAGAAGCCACCCGAGCCCAGGAGCACCACACCGGGTGTCCTGTAAAAAAGGGCTGCGCTTCCAGTGCTTCTGACTGAGCTTCTCTGGCGCGCCCCCCTAATGTATATGTTTAAACCGCCTCTCGAAGGACGTCTTCCTGATCTCGGGCTGGGAAGAGACGCCGAGGCCCTGCGCGGCCGCGAGCTTCCAGAGCTGTCTGCGATGCTCCGATGCTCTGCCGCCGCTCACCCGCCGCTCCCGCCTGCCCGGCCAGATCTCCGAAAGCGCGGGTGACGAAGAGGCCCGGGTAACGCTCGCCCTGGCAAAGAAAGGAAGACGCGCTCCTGCGCAGCCAGCCAGCCTTGAAGAACTCCGGCTGGGCGGCCGGTACGAAGAGCCTTACCTCGCATCGAGGGGGTGGTGCAAACTCGACGCAGGTGCAGTTACTGCCTGGTGGACTCGCCGGTGCCCCGGCAACAAGCTGCGGCCCGCACGTGCCCGGAATTTGGCGGCACCTTGACGGGACGTTGATGCAAGAAGATTGGGCTGGGAATCGCGTAACTGTCTCTCGCCCTATTTCTGCCACACTCTTTTCACTAGGATGCGAAATACACCTGTCAACTGCAAGTGGCTGATGCGCGGCGACCGTGAACATGGAGTAAGTTGGAGAGGACAGGGGAGCCATTATGCAAGTTATGCCGCATCATTCTTCGGCTTGCTTCGCAAAACAAGTGACGCTGTCTCTGTTTCGCCTGTCCGGAGAAGGAACTGCAAGCCTATCCTCAGCTCAATTCCCCTGCTTGCATCCACCTGAACCAACTTGGCGCCACTGTTCCGCGCGCGCTGCAGCTCCTTGACGTCCTTTGCCAGCATGCGATGTCACACATCCCATAGGTCCAAAAGGCAAAAGACAGAGACGCGTCCTCGGTGGTGTGAGCCGGAGTGACCTGACTTTGCTTTGCGCTCTCTGCAGTGCTCCAGGCCAGGCTGGGGCAAAGGCCAGATCGACTCGCCGGCTCGTCTCTGTGACCTCAGAAACCGGCGGATGTTATGGTACCGGCGCGCCTCATACGGGGCGGCAATATATGCCACCGAGGCACCGTGGCCACCAGGACACGCGTGTCCCCAAGCCAAGCCTGCGACACTGAAACCCGGACATACTTGTAACTGAAGCGCAGAGATGTCGCGCTTGTGAAGGTCGGTGAGTGCACGCGGCGTGTGGGACTGAGAGCCCCGCCACTTTCACCTCGTCCCCATGCCGGAACGCTACACTGCAGCTTGCTCCCGACCTGGGGGCGCAAAGCAAAGGATCTGTTGCGAGCTTTTGCTCTAACAGCTGCAGTCGTCAGGTCTTGGCCGCCCGGCGATGAAATGTCGATGTACTTGGCCTTGGCAAACTGCGCCACATCTTCGGCCACTTTCGGGAAGGCATGCACCTCAGAGACTCAGAGAACACCCAGCAGTGGCCCAGCACCATGTGAGCCGCCTTAGGCTTGCGCCAGAGCCTCTTCAGGGCGATGCCCTGCGGCAAGTAGCTGCTCCAGGAACCAAGGCAAGCTCTGCCTGGCACGCTGCTCTTCTATTCAAGGTCGGGCGCGGACCCCCTGAGCCACTTCCGGAACCAGGCGTGAGCGGCGCTACACGAAAGGCCACAAGATGTCCGAAGGGGCCATGCCCATCACCTGTCCAAAACACTGAGTCCAGCAGCTCCTGTGATCGGGATCTCTCTGGGAGCCCCACAAAGCACATAGAGGATGTCCTCGTCGTAGCGCGTGAGGCTCAGACAGTCCTGAAAAAAGTAGTGAGAGCTCAAAGGCGATAAAGGCGGAATTTGTCCCGGCCTGGCAGGGAAGCGGGTCCGTGCCTCAGCCCAAAGCGCCCAGCTTTTTCTTTTCGCTTTTGGATACAACAAGCGCGTCTTGTGTGGGTGGCCGACTGCCTCGCTTGCCTCGGAGGCTGGAGATGCCCAGCTGAAAGGAGCTCCTCCCTGCCCTCAGAAACTCAGACCCTCTCTGATTCAAAAAGTGCGAGCTTCATCACTGCATTCGTCTGCCCTTCAGCACCAGCTTCAGGCTTTTCCACCACATCCAAGGTCTAATTGGAATCCACTCCGAATCGTACCGACAGGTTCGGCCAAATGTTCTCCGAACCCACAGGGCTTCTGAGCTCGCAGCGTGCTCTCGGCCGTCTCCTGCAACAGAGCCCCACGCCGCTGCAAAGGGGGCAGGGGCAAGGGGGGGAGCGGGGCGGAGAGAGGGTGCCCCCATTTAGGTCAAAAATCAAGTTTTGGTGGTTGGGAGGGATGGAGGAGGGGGGGGGCTTGCAAGCTTGGGCATGCTTGGGTTCAGGGGGCTGCGGGCCCGCCTCAGCAGTCTGAAAAGGCTCAAGCCACTGCTGGTCATCTTTCGGCACCTCGTGCTCCAACAAACTTTCCCAACACCACCGGTGCAGCAAGGGAAAAGTTGGCAGACTGGGGTTCAAAGCTCAGGGCGCTTCTTTCTGGCTCGCGTGGAGTCAAGCTGCAAACTCATCTGCAGCATCTGCCCCGAAACCCTTCGGGTTCCCGGGCTTGCGGGGCTTACCTTTCTGGGAAGCTTTGCCCTTGCCAGTGCCCTTGGTGCCCTTGCTGCCTTTAGTGGGCCGTCTCTCCTTGCGGCCTTCTTTCAGCCGCTGACCACGCGGGCCGCGGCCTGAGGCCCCTTCCTGGGCCTCTGCAGTCCGCTCGTACCTGAGCCGAGACATGATTAGACACACGTACATTGAGTACACACGTATGGCATATTTGCGCAGAGAAAATATAAGGCAACGTATCATATCAGATCACAAAAGTGTAAAGTGTTTAAAGTGATAACACACACACACACCCACACATGTGTGTATAAATGCACGTGCCGGTATGTAAGATCTTACAGTATGTCGTGGGGCCCGCGAGGCAGGGGCTTCTCTTGTCCGAGGTCCGGGCCGGTTCTTCTGGACCACTTCGCGCGGTGCCTCGCGGAGGGCGAAGCTGGTCGCCAGGTGTCCCAGATGGAGCTGGCCGAAAGGAAAGGATGCTCGGAGCTCCCGTGGGAAGGAGCGATAGGCCTCGAGCACCAACCAGCGAACATAAAAGAAGAATGGGGCCCTCCCCTCCCCCCCCTCCATGAACTTTTCAGCAAACTTATCTCTCTGATCGGGCCTTCAAGGAGGCTAGGAAGCCGGAGCGCGCCCGTGAGGCCAAGGCGGCCTGTGCCGCCACGCGGCTGGCGAGGTGGCCAGACAAGAGGCCCTGAGATAAAATGCCGAGCAGGGATCTAAGGGGTACGGAGGAAATCAGAAAACAACTTCGAAAACGGATCGGACGATATCGGAAAATCAGAAAACAAAATCGGAAAACTGACAGCCGAAATCAGGCAAACGGACGCACAAAAATCATAAAACCAGGCGGAAAACATCAGAAAACACGACGGACCGGATCAGAAAACAGGGCGGTCGAAAATCAGAATCACGAAAGGCAAACAGAACCACTGCAATGGCGTGACGGGCTAACTCGCGTAAGAATTCCCATGTTGTTGGAGATCACACTCACACTTCTGTACAGAAGCGCCGCTCTGCATTGCTAGGTTTGTGGCCAAAACCGAGGGGTGAAAGGAGCGCGTCCTTCCTTCACCTCTTGATTTGTGGCCAATGAAAGGACCACAGCCTTCCTTGACCTCTCGGTTTGTGGCCAAAACCGAGGGGTGAAAGGACCGCGGCCTTCCTTCACCACTCGGTTTCTGGCCAAAACAAAGGGGTGAAGAACCTTCCTTCACCTTCCGGCTTGTGGGCAAAACAGAGGGGTGAAAGGAGCACGGCCTTCCTTCACCTCTCGGTTTGTGGCCAAAACCGTGGGGTGAAAGGACCGCGGCCTTCCTTCACTTCTCGGTTTGTGGACAAAACCAAGGGGTGAAAGGAGCGCGGCCTTCCTTCACCTCTAGGGTTTGTGGACACAACCGAGTTGTGAAAGGAGCGCGGCCTTCCTTCACCTCTCGGTTTGTGGCCAAAACCGAGTCGTGAAAGGACTGCGGCCTTCCTTCACCTCTCGGTCACCTCTCGGTTTGTGGACAAAACCGA